TGTGTGTGTGTGTGTGTGTGTGTGTGTGTGTGTGTGTGTGTGTGTGTCATTGTTGAGTTGTGCCAGAGCAGTAGTCATAGTAAGAGGTTTCCCAGGCTGCCTGGAACAGCCTGATAAGCTGCTCTCTAGACCAGGACACGCGCTCAGGCCTCAGGTGACACCACACACAACCAGAGCTTGTGTGTGTGTGCGCGTGCGTGTGTGTAAGTGAGGGTCTTGATTCCCTCTCCAGGGCTAAAGCCTCCTCTCACCTGCGGGACCTTTTGAGGCATTTATGTGTAAGCTCTGCTCAGGCTCCAGAGATGAATGTCCTCTTACCTGGAAGGTTGAGAAAGAGATTCACATACAAATTACCTCATCTTCTACTGAACACACACACACACACATTGTACTCACCATAGTGCTGCTAATTAAAAATCCAATTTCAACAGATTTAAATTTAATGTAATTTGTTCGCAACCCACATAACTAAATCCTAAACTGCGCTTTGAAGGGGTTTCCTTTCATTCACGTACCTCTGACTTCAGATTTGTTGTTGTAAGGTAGTTGCATTTTGAAAAGGAAACAAACTAGTCTTACTTTCAGTCATTATTATTTCTCCATCCGTGATGTCGATCCCAAACTGCGTCCTGCCTGCACGTTACTTCTCAGTTGGTTTTGTGTCACGATTATCTGTTCGGTTTGTCAGTTACTTCCTATTTGTGATAACAATGAGAGCATGATTGCCTAGTTTACTTAAATAACTGGAGCGAGACCAACACATAAGTAAGTAACAAGAGCTTGCTTTGCTGAAATGTCAAATATATATTTGAGGTCATTTGTCTACCAGAAATCAAGGACAAATACATTTTTCATATGAAATGTCATTCTCAGTATTGAATTCATGGTCAAAATTCTCTCAGAAAATGAATTGAAGGAATCCTTATAAAAATGTTTTGTGTGTTTATGTGAAAAAATGTATATGGACAGATATATCAGGTATCAGACTTTTAATAATCTCAAGTATTGACTGCCGTATTGGCCTCAAAAAAACTGTTTAGTTTTGGTTATTGATGAGACAGCAGAGCGTGCAATAGATCACGAGTATGAGGCAGAACCTGCTTCACTCTGACGCTGTGTATTTTAGATTCGGACAAGTCATCACAGATTAAATATTTAATTCGTTTTACACGTTCAAATAGAAGTTTGAGTGTCTTATAAAATGTGACTCATCTGGGAAGGTAGTGAAGTCTGACAGGGAAACAATGGCGAGCAGAACTATGATAAGAATACCCATGTTTTTGCTGCACTGGAACTATCCTTTAACACACCTGCGTGTCGTATCCAGAGTGACGGCGGTCGGTCGGCTGCAGCCTGAACTCGGGAGTAAACACCGGCGGCCTCCTGTCAACTTCAAACGCTCTGAGGATTGCTGAAGGAGGAAGAGGAGGTGCAGGCGGCGCTCTTTTGTAGCTCTGTGCCTGTCTTTCTCTCTGGCCTCTTTCTCTCCCACCTATTTTTCCATCTTTTCCTTCACCCATGTCCCCCTTCATCTCAACCCTCCTTCTTCTGTCTTTGTCTTTTCTGCCTCTCCAGCCCCCTCAGCTCTCTCTCTCTCTCCTCTCACTGATGTACCGGAGCTGCAGATTTCATTTTAGCGATGGGTAATCATTGGCTTCCTCTATATATGTGTGTGTGTGTGTGTGTGTGTGTGTGTCTGGCAGCAGTCAGACGTGCTCTGTCAATGACAGCATATGGCATGTGTGAGTGACATGACGACTATCTATAGTGTAATGTGTCTGACGGTGTGTGTGATTGACAGTGACGTCCCTTCAGCTTCGTGTCAGCTGTCCTGCTGGCTCGGAGGGCTTTGCTTTCCTCTTTTCTGAACAGCAATGAAGTGCTCACATGGCTCATCGCTAACCAGGCATCGGCTCTTGGTTGCCGAAACTGAAAATATGGTTGCCACTTTTATTCCCCGTATATTTTGAGTCAGACGATATGCAATCATACGACACGTTCATCTGGTTCTTTTTCAGTTGAATGAATTTGCACATTGGTTTGTGAGTGGACGGTTTAGTCGACCTTTTATACCGCACGGTCAAACAACTTAATTTGCTTCGCCGTTGTCTCAAAAAGAGAATATTTACATATCATGGGGGACATTTTGGTTGACCAATTGTTCTAAATGTTTGCTAATGGCGACCTGACAACCCTTACTGTCAAGCCCTAGTTCATGATGATAAGTGGGAGCTGTTTGGTTGAAGGACGCTTCAACTTTTATCACTTTAGAAATAATGTTGAGATTATTAGCAGTTTCAGTAATTTACTTGTCATGTGAAAGCTGCAATGATCAATGTTTTTATTGCTGCAATGGATCAAATGACTAATTGTCATATGAAAGGACAACGGGTGTTGCTTGTAGTGCTGTAATTCCCTCTCTCTCGCTATATGGAGCAGTTTAGCATCTTTTAGCTCATTGTTTTGGTTTTTCTGAACTTTTTTTGGTTCGTTCTCGACTCCCTCATCTCCAGCCACAGCAGGCAGCTATTTTAAGCGAAGCAAGCTGTTCTAAACCCGCTGTACACTACCTCCCCAGCACCACGCGGCAGACAGACAAAGTTAGAGACTATAGCTGGTGAACATAATGAAGTATTTAGCAGCTTAATGAGACGGATATTTCCCTCAGGAGGTGATGGAGATCAAAACAGAGCTGTAAAGAGAGTGAATATTGGAGCTAATGTTGCTCCGTGTCTGGCTGGATGTCGAAAATCGTCAACGGTCTGCCTACACATTCGCCATATCCACTTTATAAGGTGATGATATAATGTTATTATTTGGCTCCCGCCAAGCAGCAATGGAAATCAATTTATAACCTCTTGGAGTAGTTCATCACATAAAAAAAAATACAAAATACTTTCAGGCTTTTGCTTATTGTGTATTGAATCCCTTTTCAACTGTCTTCAGGCGTAATGAAACGGTTCTGCTTGTTTTGTTGCTCTGGCGTCTTGTGACGGGAATGATTCCTTACGCTTTGAAATTTAACAACAATTCATTTATGAATCAAAAAAAAAATCATCAATGGCTTTGTGTAAAGCAAAATATGAATATAATCGAAATGCTAATTGCTTTGCAGCCCTACTTCGTCTTGTTTATTCACCCGCTCCACAGATAATGGCTGTGGCTATATTTAGCAGCAATAATCTGCATCATGCTTTTCCCCCGATTTATATTATGACTCAACCTACGTGTGTGTCTCTGAACACCAGGTGTGAAAAAGACACGTCTGTGAAGTGGAATGAAATGTTTTTTCCTGGCTCGAGGTCTGCGGGACGGCCAGCACGTAGCTTAATGTATTTTTGTAAATAAATGCGTGGTTCATTTTAAAGCACCCTGCTCTCAGGTGTTGATTTGCAGAGCCAATCTCAAAAGCTGTTGCAATGCTGGAAGAAAACACCGTATGAAGTGTTTTACAGTGATGGGCCCAGGTTGTTTGAAAAAAAAAGAAGAAGAAGAAAAGGCTAGTTGAGTGACAGCCCACCATAGCTGAACAAAGAGCTTTTGATGTCTATGAAGTACATTGTAAAAACAAAGCAGTCAGTGTTGTTCACTTCAGGATGTTTGTCTCCGTCCTTGTCCAGGTGAGAGTGAGATGAGGAGAGGCTTCAGAGTGTGAGGCCATGGGCTGCACCTCGGCCAAGCAGGTGTCGGCCGTGCCCAACGATGAGGAGGGACGCGGCAAGGCCTACAGCAACGGAGACCTCTTCACCGGTCAGTACACACACACACACACACACACACAGAGGGAGAGAGGGATGTCAATAAAAGCTTCACAGCTCCATTTCACCCGGTTAATTGCTCAGCGTTGCCCCGTCTGCCCTCACTCTATATTCTCTTCATTACAGCTCATAGTCTTCTCGCAGAGTGTTCAGTTCTCCATTTCAGACAATAACTGTCAACACTGCAGCTTTATTGGCGTTATCTATGTTGATAGTTTGTGTGCGAGAGGGGAAGTTGGTCAGCAGCGTTAACCGTGTGCTCGGTTTCTGGACGCTCTTAATACTTCAGTGTTTGGAACTGGAGAGGGAAAGCGAGAGGAGAGGAGAGGTGAGAGTGGAGTAAACCCTTATGAGAGTTTCCATTAGGGATGAATCGATTGATTGATTATACCAGCGGTTTCCAACTAAGAGGCAGAGAGTCAAGATGAATGTGAGGATGGCAACTGTTCAGATTTATCGTAAGGCTAGGGTTGGTAATCTTCTTCAAAAACACTTTTTGTTACATTTTTACATCCCGACAGCGTTCAATAAAACAAATGCACTGACGAAAAAAAAAACAAGGTATCTGTGGTTGTTGCAGCACTGTAATAAGCCCGTCCAATCATTTCATTCAGACTTAATGTAATGATCTGAAAGGCTACCTGCATGTATTCTACCCGTGCACTCATTGTGCGTCACCGGACTGCTGCTAGCTTGACAGCTGTGAGTGCTAACGATAGCCATGTTTGTTGATGAAGTTCATAATGATCATTTTGCGGGACTTGGTAAACTAGTCCTGTGTGTCACTTGGATGATTTTTCAAAAATACTGTTGGACTCACAAACAGACATGCAAACACGCTGGCAAAACTTGGATACTTGAGTCATCAGATCTCAAGCAAAAACGCTAAACATTCTCTAGTTTCATCATTTTACACTGAATATTATTTCACTTTTCACTTATTGACAAACTTCTGGGAAATTGCCCAAACATTACGTAACTTTATAGAATTGATTAATTGAAAAAGATAATCAACAGATTAATCTGTAACGAATATGATCGTCAGTGGCTGCTCTAATAATAGCTCGCAGGCTGTTGTGCAATGACGGCCAGAAGTGAAAGCCAGAGACGGAGAGCGATGATGGGCCGGTGGGGAGATTAACAGCGATTAAGAATTAGGAGCAACACTCTGCTGTGGCTGCGGATGGGCGGATGGACGGATGGACGTGGCAGATGACGATCTGCAGGAGGTCCTCTCTGTCCGTCATCCCCCTCTGACCCTTCTCCCTCCCTCCCTCCTCCTCCTCAGCCTCTCACCCTCTCCCGGCGACCTCTCTTTGACTCTCTTCTATCTCGTCCCTTCTATCATCTCCCCTCATCCGCCCCCCCTTGAGTCTTGCTTCCCCTCCTCGTCTTTAAAGGAGAAAACAGAATGAGGCGGGAGATGGGAGGGAGAGATGGGAGGGAGAGATGGGTTGGAGTGAAGCGCTTTTTTTTTCCTTGAGAGAGGAAGGGAGAGTGACGTGCATAGACGCTGCTGCTCTTCTCTTTTTCTCTCTCTTAAACCTTCTCTGTCTCGGTCAGATCGCCTCTTCGCTCCCACTGCTCAAGGCCTCGTTCTTCCCTTCCTCTTTCTCTCCGTCTCTCTATTTTGGGTCTCTGCTCGCCCCTCTCCC